CGTCGAGTACAAATGATATCTCGACATATCAAATTCCCACCGACAAAGAAAAAGAGGCTGACCCAGAGCAAGATTCCATCGAGAGACAGCTTTTCACCGGTATATCTACATTGATACACAATAAGATTGATGAGAAGAGAAAAGAAGAGAAGTAAAAAGAAGAGAAGAGGAAAAAAGAGTCAGCTGCCTGCCAACCATCCGAAAAGTGCACGTGAAAAACGTTGGGACTCACGAGGTCACTTTCATTACAATGAAGTCATGATATGCTAGTTTTGTATCCAGCTAGATTCATCAATAAAACCTCTTAAATGTCTCACATCGACTGAAGTGCCGTGGTCGAACGAAATTTCGCTCATGAAATGCCGGAAAACATAGAGAGTCTCACCTCCAGCCTCGTTGCCGATGACGATAGTTCCGCCTGGAATTTCGAAGCGGAGAATATATAGGAAACGAGGGCATATTAGCGTACCACTTGCTTTCAAGATGACCAATCGAAATAAGTTTCTCCATTTTGGGATTGGTTCCAGCGAAGCAGAGAGATAGGCTGGAGAGAAGCGATGCTCCGAAGTCTATGTAGTAATGATGAAAGCCTGAAGAAGACTTCGATCATAAGAATGCATTCCTCGTGAAAAGTCTAGACGAGTCACACGTGCTGTGTTTTTTAAAGATCCTCGAAGTACTCTCTGATCGATCATGTAAAGCCTCGCAAGTGCGATGATGAAGTCTATTGTTATCATGAACTCAAGTGTGTATTAGATATTCATATCAGAGCCTCTAGGCATTTCCAGTGATGATAGCAGCCGCCTGCTCCGACATGGCATATAACGGAGCCATGAGATGGGCAGCCATGGGGACAGGCAAAACTGAGGCATCCACCACACGTAGGCCCTTCACACCTCTCACCTTGAACTCGGAGTCAACGACCTTGCCCATGGAGCACGTGCCATGAGGATGCCACGTCGTGACACCTCCCGCTGCCAGACGAGAGTTGAGATAATCGTCAGTGTCATCAAGCGACACAGGCTCAAAAGCATCTGGCGCAGTCTCACCGGCGATGAAGTCCTTGCCAAAAGTGGTGTTCAGCATCAGCGTGGTCATTTGACGTATGCCCTCGCGGTAGACGTAGCGGTCGACCTCGGTTTCAAGGTAGTTGAGGTTGATGATTGGTCCGGTTGCGGGGTTGGAGGATTCGAGACCGACGGTGCCGTGGGAGGTGGGTAGAAAAGAGACTACATTGGTGTAGATGTGCGATCCATCCAAAGGAACGGTAGGGTTCGAGGCACTGTAGGCCTGGTAAATGATAAAGTTCTCAAGGAAACTTCGGCCTGTCTTAAGAAGCGAGTGAGTCGCGGCGTCTGGTGCAGCACCCTCGTCTTCGGCGATGGCAGCGGCAAGGCCTGTCTTGTCGACATCAGTGGACACAACCCAGTCAATCGGGTAGCCGGTAGCGAACTCGGGCTGTGAGAACAGTGGGTTGTTGGAGCCAAGCGCGAGACCTTTCTCGGGGTTCTTGAGCTTCCAGAACTGATAGAATGACATGTGATCCATGAGATTCTTTCCAACTTCGGGGAGGTCGAGCCTGACTGAGATGTTGTGCTTCTGCAGCTCTTCAGCGTCGCCGATACCAGAGAGCATGAGCAGCTGGGGAGATCGGTATGCTCCGGCCGCCGAGATTACGTTCTTGGAGGAAATCTGGGTACCATTGGCGAGCTGAACGCCGGTTGCCCTCAGCTCCCCGTTACTGCAATTCTTGGCAAGGATAATCTTCTCAACCAGAGTGTCGGTTAACACCGTGATGCCATCGAGGGGGTAGATAACTGGTGTGAGTTCACGAAGACCGTTACGTCTGGTCTCGGTGAGCTCGGCGCGACCAAGGTTATCGCCGGCGTTGCTGTCGAGGTTGGGCAAACCCGTAACTCCGAGTTCTTGCCAAGCCCCCGCAACATCGTCGCGGAGGGGGTATGATCGGCCTGTGGATGTGACGGAAGCAACGTGGAGAGGACCCCCATTGCCGTGCTGAGCGGTACTGTTGGTGCTGAACCAATCCTCGGCCTCCTTCATCCAGGGTAGTTGGCTATCATAGCTCCATCGCGAGTCGCCTACGATTTCAGCCCACTCATCATAATCCACCTTGGGGCCACGAGTATAACCACCTGGGTACTATTAGTATTTCGAGTCAGTCTCGAGAAAGTTCAATGGCTGCTTACAAGAGTTGATCGCGGCGCCACCTCCCAAGCCTTTGCCCTGGTTGTAGACAAGACTGCGGTCATTAAGCGCGGAGACAGGTTTAGTCGGATACTGCCAGTCGAGCTCGCCACCCATGAGGTTCGTAGCGTTGGTGTAAAGAATGTCAGTACGCGACCGGGTGTCTTCGCCAGCCTCGATGAGGAGAATGTTCAGGGAACTATTGTACTCCAACATGCGGCTTGAGATGACAGAACCCGCGAGGCCACCGCCAACTATGACGTAGTCCCAAACTGTTGAAAGCATCTTGTCCTGTAGTTTCTGAGTGCCAGATGTATGATGAACCGGAATTATGTAGGAGGCGAGAAGGGGGCCAAGAATGACTCTGGGGGGTGGACTGGACCAAGCGAAAGGGCCTCGAACATCACCAAAAGGCTGCAAGTACAGCGATGTAGCTTCGGGTTTATATCCCAACGCCAGGAGGAATACGCTTGCTCAGGCCCTTCGAAATATTTCGGCCATAGTTCCCCAATATTGATTCCCAGGAAATACCCACAACCGGGCGCGTGGTTTGGTTTAGGTCTGAAGACTGCATGTATCCGCTTCTATTACTGCATGCGCAATCTCGCCCATTCTCGGTGGTGTGTTGTACACGCAGAGACATGCTTGTGCACCCTGAATAATGTGTGATGCTTCTGGAGTGACTCCCTTCAAAGGGCCGGAGGACCGAAATAAGGTTACGTTGCAAAATCCTAACGATATTTTGACATGTTGGAATTGGACCGAAATCAATGGGAGCACGACCGGTCGGGAATCATGTCCGAACGTAACCCTCGATGTCTTCAAGGCTCAAGTGCAGGTTCTCTCCAACCGCATATAATGTGGAACGTCATCCCTGCTAGCCGGCTTGGCTGTTTGGAGACAGGGATATTTATATGAGCGGGTGAAGAAGTTTGTTGGTTGACAAGACCAACGTTACTTCTCACGAAAAGCCAGCCACCTTTTTTTATTTGCCAGAGTATGAATCATATTGAAGTTCACTCTACATTTTACGTACATGTAAGAATAGGATTTAGTATCATCTGAACGTGAGCGACGCACCTGAAGTCTACTGACAGCCCAAGTGATGCCTACCAGCATTTCTGTCCTCAAAATCGATGGAAAGCAGAAAGTCGCAAGAGATATTGGACTTTCGTTGCGACTCGCAGGAGCAAATTCAATCATGTTCAACCGCCCGTCTTTACCAGGATTGTTTGAGACCCTTGGCCTCCGGGAGCATCCAGGATGTTCCGCGCTCAAGAATTTGTCCCCAGTCCAAGGTCCAACATGGCCCAGCCCACAAGGCCCGCTTGGCAACCAGGGACCTCAAAAACTGCGCAACACCAAAGCAACAGAGTGCATTGAGGTGACAACAGTTCTTATTGGCTCAAGAGCCCTCCAGGATTTCGTTGGTCGTACGATCTATCTAGGATGAAAAGCAATACTCAGGCGAGCAATGTGACAAATATCATAGGCATTCTGCCGAGATAGCCTATGGTTTGACTTACAGGGCTGGAATATCGATTTTTTGAAGCCGCGAATGATAGGGAAATTTGCCGAAGTATCGGGTTCAATTACTAACCTATACCCCTCAAGAACCTGCTCATTTATTATGATTCATGACGCAATACAGATGAATTCTGTCTTGCAGACATGAGGTAACTAACAATCTGCAACGTTGTCGTCCTCTGATTCAGGCACTTATTCAGCTTACCTCAAGAGATATGAGCAACACCGGAATGTGCACGCTGGGCTCCGCCATCCTGTAACGAGTTTGTCTCCCTACTACATGGCGGGAGGTACAAATCCCAGGAGCAAATCAACAATCACAATAGTAGATAACTGAAACATTGAAGACTGGAGGGATCAATAGAAGGAGCTAGTGCATCATCATTGTGTCTAACGAAGGTATTCGATGTGGCATGCCCCTTGCTTTACGATGGAAGTCGGAGGATGGTTGGTTTCGCGAAAAGGTCGCGCGAACTGGCTGCGCCGCCACGCGCGCCTCCCGAGTGCAGCTGGCCGTATTACCGGGTACGTGGCTTGGTTATCGTCAAAGAACCCAGGTTTCCGGTATTTGCTTGCGAAAAGGAACAAAGTTTTCCATTCGGGTAGGAGCGTTGCATGTCACGCGTGGTTTGCAGAATGGACGACTTTTAGAACCCCCTTCTTGGTGTAAGTATATTCGTTTGTGTCGCGAGCGAGGTGAATCCAATTGAGTAGGTAACATAGATTCAGAAATCTGGCAAACCACTGTATGTGTTTTGTCAGCCTTGGTGAATAAAAATCTGTGCAATGTGCTGTGAAGAGCGCTCTGAAATGCTGCTTGCGCAGACCTCAACTTGCATAACTATGACGACCTGCCCAATATGGGATAGAGTGAGCGCAACAAGCAAATGATCCAATACTGAAGCCCTGTCACAATTTCGTCGGCTCAATGTGTTCAAGGAGGGTGAAGGCTGCCAGGCACAGGCATGACAAGAAGGATCTGAAGACTTGGCTAGAATCGCCAGGGTCAACGTCTCAATGCAGATGCGTCCCTGACTCCCTGCATGGTCCCCATTCGTCATCCGCCGAGATGGAGTCATGCAAGTTTTGACGAAGATAGCTGTGCCGCAGAACTCACAGGATAAGACGTAATCCCGATACCCACACCAGTCGTACTCTGTCAAGTCTGTCTGGGATTGAATTCGAAGTCTTGTTGAAAGTACCGACTTGATTTCCCCCGCCAACCACACAACTGTTACAAACACAACAGCTTTGAGAGCGTGACGACAATGGCTGTCGATTCCGACCTCTCTCGGATCACGACAACCGTCGTGCCACTAGCAGCAAACCCAAATGCTACACAGGTGATTTATACCAACATTGTGTTGGTGACACTCGTCACAGTATGGACGGGGCTGCGTCTGTACTCGCGAAAGATGCGCCGGGTTCCATTTGGAGTTGACGACAGCTTGTACATGGTAGCGCTGGTATGAAACGAGGACAAATCCGTGAACACTGGGGTAATAGACTGATCATGAATTCGTCAGATACTGTTCTACGCCTTTGTAGTCCTGCATTTCATGAGTACGTATGGCATTGACTACCTGTTGTCTTTCAGTCTCACCAGTAGAAATGTATCACATTTGTGTCGATGCATGACTGACCAACAAATCTCAGTGCTTTTCCTCGGTGGTGCAGGCCATCACGTCTCCGAGCTCCAGCCGTGGCATATTGAGAAGTTGATGAAGTTTGGGTATGCTAGTCAAGTGGTCTACGCTGTGTCTCTTGGGTCACTTAAGATCAGCATCTGCTGGATGCTTCAACGCATCTTCTTTGTCCGCCCGTTCAAGGTAAGCAATTGAGACCCGCGTCAGAGCGATCGCAATCCCCTCATATCGATGTAGACTCAGTTCATTAACCAGCGACTGCCTGGTCAACAGATTGCGGCTTGGGCAACCATGGGCTTATGCATTGCTTGGACTTTGATGACGATTCTCATTGGGTTACTTATCTGCAGACCCATCGCAATGCAATGGAATCCAACGATTCCAGGGGGAGTTTGCGGTGATCAGATTACAGCTTTTGCTGCTGTGGGCGTGGTCGATGTTATCGTCGATCTGATCATCTTCATTCTGCCTATCCCTATGGTGCTGAAGCTCCAAGTTTCCAGTGCGCACCGAATCGCACTCATAGGCATCTTCGGGGCCGGTATCCTGTAAGTGAAGCCCAAAGCTGCTTGGCCATAGTCCGTTCTATTCAAGGTCGAACCAATCATATTTGAAAAAATTCTAATAGATGAGCTTGCTCACAGGACAATCATTTTCGGAGCCCTGCGGCTTGCTTCGGTATTCAGCGTCGACTTCCTTGACTTCTCCTTTACATCGCCGAACGCTATGGTGTGGAGCTCAGCTGAAATGGGCGTCGCACTCATGGTATCGTCGTCACCGATCCTCCGGCCCGTCTTTGACCGCATCTTTGGCCGATTCATCAGTACCCTTCGATCGAGTGCAGACCGAACCAATCCCCATGCGAAATAAGTCAACATACCCACTTCCTGGCACCCCCCTGTTTCTGGCACCCACAAAAACGCGAAAATCCACCACAACCCAATGCCCACCCCCAACCTCCTTTTATCACAACATTTTCAATTCGCGTCCAAATGGGCTCATCTTTTGCACATGTCTTCTTCTATATATAATGCCTCAATATACCGAAGATCAGCTTCGTCAGGCTCTCGAGGA